GAGGTCATTGTTCCACCCAGAGAGGTTTGTCAGTTAACCATTTTAAAGGTAGGGGGCTGTTGGTACCTCTGAAAAGCCAACAGCTGTTGTGTTCTGCTGATATACAACCTGAGTAGTCTGTGACTGTTCTTGATAATACCTTTTAATGTCTTCTCAGAAACATTCTTTATTCTGTTATTTATTTCTGAGATTGGAGGAATGTTAATCTGTGTTTTTCATTGCTGTAGCAAATCATGTTCCCATATATTCATGGCTATATTAGCCTTATATGGTTTTAATTTTCCTATTGTCCTTCTGGCCCTATACACTCGACCCATCTTGCACTTTGTTTTACCTGAGAGAAAGTTCCAATCCCTAAAAGCTGAATACCTCCTGAAGAGGCCAATTAGGATGTTAATATTTTAGTGAAAGTATTGTTATATCTGCTACTGTGTCTACTAAACCTTCAGTTTCAATGTTATTTATTTGTTTTTTAGCTTTGGTTTCTGATCATTTATAGCAGTTTGCCAAAATACTTGTTTTCTGGACTCTCCTACATTTTTTTTTATCTACTGAAGCTGTTCTGTCTTTGATTATACCCAGAGCAGTGTTGTTTTTAACAACAGTCATTAAATCTTTTAATTTCTCTGTGGATGAATTTTTCTGATACTGACAGGGAATGATTGAATCCAGTTTGATACCATGGCCTGTTGAGGCTCCTTAGGACATTTCCTAATGGGAAAGGGTTACCTTGCCTGTCCCTTGTTGATTTGCATTCATTAGTCCCATGCCAGCTTTTGCCATACTGTCTGCATACTCTGGAAGGCTAGAGTCTTCTTATTGGATTATCTATAGAAAAATCATTGTTTCTAGGAATACCTTTCCTACAATATCTTTTCAAATTATGTTTCTTACCACAATTAAAACATCTGATATTTTCATTTTTTTTTAACTTTTAGAAATTACTCCTCCTATCAGAGGAGCATAATGAACATGAGATCCAATATAAGCAGTATTTCTAATCCATTCATCTATTGGTGCTGATATTTCCTTTAAAGGATTAATCATCCTTTTGCATTCTGAATTAGAATTTTCAAAAGCTATAGATGTGATTAGTATTTGTCTGACTTCTGAATCTGATACTATTCCTTTATAGCTGAAGTCAATCTTTGTAAAAAAAAAAAAAATCAGTGAAGGCTTCTTTCGGACCTTGTATAATTTTAGTAAATGACTCAGACCTCTTTCCTGATCCTTCCGCTTTCTCCCAAACATTTAAAGTGCTAAATGACATAGCAACAAGGTGTGATCATTAAATTCAAACTGTCTTTGTAGCTCAGCATTTTGACCATCACCTAGTAATTGATCTTGGGAAATATTAATACTTCTGGCCTTATTTCATTGTTCTAAGGCCCTAGTTTCCTCTTTCTATATTCTCCCTTGTAACTGAGGACCAGCTTCCAATATTGCTGTTACCAAATCTTTCCAGTCTTGAGGGATAATTCTGTTCTGAGTTGCCCAGTATTTTATATCTGCTTCACACAGGGTGGATGCACACCATATGAAACGACCTCTTCCTTAAATCTCCTCAAATCTAACATGTCTATAGGATTCCATTTAACTTCCTGATAATCATGGGGGTGCCTGTCATCTCCTGGTAGTTCTTGCATAGTAACTGGATAAACTAAGGTTGGTTTTCTAACAACCTTGGGCTGCCCCCTTCAGTTTCATCATGCAGTGAAGCAGTAGGTTCTTGTCTAAATCCCTCTGTCTGTGTCTTAGTGTTTTTCTTATTTTCATTTATAAGTCTTTCTAAGACTTGTATCTTATCAATTCACTTTTCATATATGGCACAAAAAAATCACTATGGTTATTCAGGATGAAATAGGAACTACCAGACTGATAGTGATTATACTTGGTATTATGTCAATCTCAGTTAAGTCATTTATTTTTTTCATCTTCTGATTCTATTTTCAAGCCATCTAAAGTAGCACTATACAGGGTCCTAATGCCCTGTGTTATGATGTTTCCCATCTTTAATGTGGGAAAGATTTTTCCACTTAATATTATTTATTTCTCTCCTTAAGTACTTCTCAGGTGTCTTACCAAATCTGAAGTCTTCTCAGTTTGTCTGTAGCTGGCATGATTTCTCTGTCCATGTGGTCATTCCACAAATTGGAGCACCAAATGTTGTTTTTCTTTTGTTTTGTTTTGTTTTGTTTTGGGTTGGGTTGGTTTTGGTTTTTAAAGACAGGGTTTCTCTGTTTAGTCCTTGCTGTCCTGGAACACACTCTATATACCAGGCTGGCCTTGAATTCAGAGATCCACCTGCCTCTGCCTCCCCCAGCCCCAAGTGCTGGTATTAAAAGTGTACACCACCACTGCCCAGCCCAAATGTTGTTTTTATCAAAACCTCAGTAAAGACTTGGGAACTAGATGATGGGGTGAAAGTCTGCTAGCTCAGAGAGGAGGAGAAAGCACTCCACTGACCTTTCTCCTCTGCTGATGTCCTGAAGCTTCCTTCTCCTATACTATCTCAAAACAGCCCTCTCAAACTAAAATATCCCTTCCTTCTACTTCCTGTGTTTCTCTTTCCATCCTCCTGACTCTCCTTTACTCTCTATGGTTTTTTCTTAATCACCTTTTGTTCACTTCCTGTAAACTGGTTGCTTGCTCTGCCCCTTGACCTATGGTAGATTTTATTGAATCCTGTTTACAATATTCAAGCAGAAAGCTCTTGGACTAAAGGCGTATGCTAAGGATTAGCCACACCACAACTAGAAACAGGTTTCAGGTTTTTCCAGTAAATAATGCAATCTCGGGATTCACAGTGTAATAAAACACCCTGGAACAGCCACCTTCAATGATCTGAGACCACACACATCAATTATTAATAAAGAAAATGCACTAGATTTGTCTGCCAGCAAATATTGTGGAGACGTTTTCTTAAATGAGAATCCCTCTTCCTAAAATTTTGTTGGTTTGTGTCAAGTTGACATAAACCAAGGCACTTCCCTTCTGAATCATTGTTTCAGCTATATGCACACATACACGAATGCAAGCGTGATCACATACACAAAGGCACAAGTTTTTCCTTATCATTTATGAGCTATTATTACTCTGCCTCCTTAGTTACTTCCCCTCTTTTCTGCATGGATAAGCAAATTTCACACCACAGTTTTCATGTATAAGCTGTGTTATACTACCTATCAGAGGGCAAAGTATACATTAGACAAATATAACAAAACTGGTTAGAATTTCAAGGTCACTGACTCGGATCACGTAATTTGTTGGGGCCTTTTGCAATTTCTTCTCATTCCTGTAAATGATGCCTGCACCATTGTCATATGTTGACAAGTCAGGGGGTCATTTTCTTTTGTCCAGAGTAAGGTTACACAGTTCATCATCAGGTTATAAAATAGCAGTTAGTCAAGGATCAGGCTGGCTTTGTTTCATCCAAGGTCAACCTTTGACTCTTCTGTCTCTATGAGACAGCTACTTCTATATACAAAGTATCCACAGATACATTCATTACTAAAATTGACTATAATTCTAATTCAAGAAAAATCAGTGCCCTGAAAAATCCCAATTTGACAGAGCAAAGAGATTCAGGTCAAGAGTCCTATAAGCCTGTTCCCTAAACTAGTTTATCCTACAGGAATTTAGAGCATCCACATATGTTAGAATGGCTTTTAGGAATATGAGTACATGATGAATCTAAACCAAAATTGCTACTGTGAAAGACAAGAGAGAAGTATTATACAGATAGGACAGCAGACATATGGCTTACTGGTTCTCAGAAAAGCTTAGTAAGTACCCACTGGACAGTAAACTCACACTGCTAAGACAGTGTGCTTCAATTAATTCCATGCAGTCAGTCAACTTACTCAGACTAAAGCCTTGATAGTCTCTTCTTCATTTGTACCAGGGCATGCAGAGCTTTAATACCATGGATGCTTCAGAGATAGCTACGGGTTTTGTTGTTATGAAGAATATGGTCTTGCTCTTAGACATTTGTAAATAGACTCATATTCTTCAAAACCTTTACTAAACAATTTTCTAGCAGAGCAGAAAGCACACACTCAGCTGTGAATGCTAATATGAGCAATTTTATGTCTATGAAGCAGGCACAAGAGAATACAGTAAATTCCAGGGTCATGGACTTCATTTCAGATTTGTTTTCGGGCTCAATAGTAGAAGTTTACTATGTGGGTATATTTCCACTCCAGGAAGACTTCTGGGTGGCTCCTGCAGTGTGTTGCCTTGGGTGCTGGTTGTCATTTGGAGGGAAGTCTCTGTGTCCCTTCTTGTTTCTGTGGCATTTGTAACTTCGCTCTGGGATTTTGATTGACGTTAGGAACACAACCTACTCTTTAGTAGGTAGGAATTAGCTCGGGGTTTTGAATAGATTGAGAGTTGCTTTTTCTGGCTCCTACACCCTTATTTCATACAACAGACTATCTGGAAATGACTCACAGAGCTCAGTTTGATGTAAGTAAACACTCCAGGCCTTTGCAGTCAGGAACTAGATGCTTCACCATCTGAGGGCAATCCTTGCTTTGATGAAACACTTTAGTTTAACACCCCTAAGTAAGGTGACCATTAGACTCTTGCCAAATGTCTATTTTCTGTGTATGGTCTGGTGAAAGCAGTTCTTAATGACTGCTATAGCTTAGAGCAAGAGAGAAACAAACATTATTCTGGAACCAGAAATACATGGCTCTGCTTGTAGTCACTGCAATTAATTTAGTCAAAGATGGACTTCCATATTTTGGAAGTTGTAATCCACTCAGTCTTTGAAGTAATTAAGAACTTTTCAGAGTTTGGTGGTGGGGGTGGTGCATGTCTTTAATCCCAGAACTCGGGAGGAAAAGGCAGATGGATCTCTGTGAGTTCAAGGCCAGTTTGATTTATAAAATGAGTTCCAGGACAGCCTGGGCTGTTACACAGAGCACTCTTATCTTGGAAAACCAAATATAAACAAATAAACAAAAATAAATATAAATAACTTTGAAGTAATTAAGTCTCCACAAAAATGAATATAGCACAATAAAATGATATCATTTTAATATCAGTCTCCATAATGTCTCAGTCTCTCTACAAAAGGAATATAAGTATTACTCCTGAGTGATGAAATTACTGATATACATAGAGATTAAATACACACATATTATTTTTGGGTGGTGCTGGATGTTAACTTGAGTGTGTTTTGAAAGTTCTCTATCACTGATTCCCCAGCCCATGATTTCTTTTTAGTAATAAGTCAAGATCCTGCCTATTGTTTTCTGCCAATAGTTCAAGAAGGTCCATGTTAATGGATGGTAACAGAAATGAACAACAGTAGTAATGGATGAGGACAGAGAAATAACAAAAATTCTGGATCACATGGAGAGTTAAAAGTCAAAGGTATGTGCTTTTATTGTAAGTGTGTTAGATGTTATTAAAGGATTTTAGTCATAGATATAAAATAACATGATTTATGTTTAAAGTGATACCTCTGGCAATAATATTCCAAACACCTGTTGGAAGATAGAGCAAACACTCAAGTATTGGGACCATTAAGATGCTACTGTCATAGTGGAAAGAGATGTTTATGATAATGGAAAACATCAGAATTCATGCTAATTTTGACTACAGCCAAAGGGCTATCTGAGGGGGTTGTAAGTGAGGCATGAGATTAGAAGTTATCAGGAATATACCAGCATTGTTGAACAAGCACCTTTTAGGATGTAGAGTCAGCCCCCTAAAAAAAGATGCTATAATCAGAGATCAAGAATATCTGAAGAGATTCTCTACTGAACAAGTGCAGAGTATTTTATTATTATTTCCTAAACAGTGGAAGTATAACAATTATTATATAAACATTTATACTTTATTAGGATTAAATAACACAAAGATTATTTCAAGTACATGAAAAAATGTATGTGAGCTGTATACAAACCATGCACCATTTTGTATGTGGAACTTGGTATCCATGGGGGAGATCCTAGAGCAAATCCCTGCCAAGGTATTGGTGAGGAAGACAATGAAAAGAGAGGGATGACAGAAGTACCAAGGGGGTGTGGAAATTTTCAATTGATGCTGCCAATTATTCATTCAAGTGGAAAACTAAGAGGCAGGAATCTGAAGGTCAGAAAAAGATCTAAGCTAGAAGCACAGGAGATGTTTCAGAGAACATTATGAGGCAGTGTCTGAAAGGTGTAGGTCATTGGGCTTGTAAGAACAGGTATAGATACAGAACTCTATGTCCGTGGATGGAGCAGGGTGCATCAGCCACAGATGGTCACAAACTCTGAACTTTAATGTTGAATGAAATCTCGAGTCATCAGCTGAACTTGCTGATTTTCAAGTCCTCAGGAGCACTCTGGTTCTTACCGCTGTTATATTACAGCTGAAGGTTTCTCACTGGATAAAGATGCTCCATTGGATGGTGATCCTAAAGGTCAAAAGGTGAGGGGATTGTATCAAAGGAAAGCAAAAAAGAGTAAGTGTGACTATGTGTCTCCAGGCTGTGTGGAAACAGAGTATCAAGAAGGAGGGACAGTAGCCAGGCTTAGGACTAGGAGACAAAACCTCAAGATTGGTGGATGGATTAATCAAGTTATAAGTTGCTGTCATTTTCTGCTATATTTATAGCAAATACCTAATCGGAGTAGCTTCAAAGGAAAAAGGACTGAAAATACAACGAAAGTGAGTATCAACTGCTACTTTTTCAAGGGTATTTGGTTGGAAACAGAGAAAGAAAACTAGCAGTGGCAGGAGTTCATGGTCAGTAAACGATTTCCCTTACAGGAAAAGCAAGGGGGGTTAGCATTCATCTTCTGGTGGACAGCATGCAGACCAAGGAGAAAAGTGGGGCTGTAAGGGAAAGGGAGAATTTAGTAATGTCTTTTACAAGACAGGAATGGAATCAAGAGTACTGTCTACTGGCGAATGGCATAAAAAGAAGAAAATAGAGACATGGTTGCAAATGAGAATTAAATGGGTAGATGTGGGTGGTCCCTTGCTTTGTCAAGGATATAGGAAGCATGATTATCCATGGGAAGGAACTGTCAGTGGTTTAAAGAGAAGCAGGCAGGTTAGAATGAAATGGGAGAGTGAATGGTTTAGGTGACCCAGTTGCGGGGCGATCTTTGTGGCTTATTCCTTCCACAGGTAGGGAGCTCAGGGTTGTGGTTACACTCCAGACCTTCCAGCCACATTTTTGGACAATGGGTGGACAGTTGAATTTAATCACCATGAGTTAAAATAAAGCAAGGTTATGAAGTTAAACCAAACGATGGTGTGTCACAGTAGATTCACGTCATATGTCAGTGACAAGGTGGAGGTGGGAAGAGACAAGGGTGTGAGGTGCCACTATACGGTGTGCCAGCTTGCTGCATGCCAAGGGAAGACACGAAGGTAGGATGAGACAAGGGCATGCGATGATACCAAGCAGTGTGTCCCAGTAATGGCTCTGCCAGGTAGCAAGTGGGACATGTGGGTGTGAATAGATAAGGAAGTAGTGATGAAGAGACAATCAGTATTTTAACAAACTGGTTGAGCAAGCTGAATGCAGAGTAGCAACTGGAGAATTAGCAGAACTGAAACAGATAAGAGAAGACCAGAGATGGGAGTCCAAGCACTCCGTGTTTAGAAGAGAGGTAGGGGAACAACTATTACTGGTTGTCACAGGTCAAGACTGACCATGAGTCTCGAAAGTATTAAGGAAGCTGAGTAACTGAGAAATGAGTGTGGCAATGCTAAGAAACCAAGATGCCAGAGGGGTGATTTCTGTGGCCAAATGAAACAATCCCAAATCAACCAAGTGTGGAGAAGAGAAACTAGGTGGGAGACAGTCTCCAAAACTTCCATGCTACCTTCCTTGCTAAATAAGTGCCTGCTGTGTGCTGTCGATGAAGTGATAGTCTGGGCTGTGGAAGGACAGATATGATTGATTTTCCTATGAACTTGTCTAGCCTAATGACTAGTACAAAATGACACTAAAGAAATTAAGTCTTAATTGTATTATTTTCATCTCTGCTTGATGGGTCCTTAATGAGAGAGTTAATTTATTTTCATATAATTCCCTGTATTCTGGATGAATACTCAGGCTTTGGTGTTTGGTTTCGAACATTTAGTACAATAAACATAACAATTTAGAAATAAGCCTCTGAGGATGCAGAAACTTCAGTTACCACGTGTTCTGGCTGGTTTTGTGTGTCAACTTGACACAAGCTAGAGTCCTCAGAGGAAGGAGCCTCAGTTGAGGAAATGCCTCGATGAGATCCAGCTGTAAGGCATTTTCTCATTTGATGACCAATGGGGAAGGGCCCAGTCCATAGTAGGTGGTGCCATCTCTGGACTGGTGGTCTTCTGTTCTATAAGAAGGTGGGCTGAGCAAGCCATGGGAAGCAAGCTGGTAAGCAGGTCCCCTCCATGGCCTCTGCATCATCTCCTGCCTCTGGGATTCTGCCCTGTTCAAGTTCCTATCCTGACTTCCTTCAGTGATGAACACCAATGCTGAAGTGTAAGCCTAATCTAATAAACCCTTTCCTCCCCAACTTGCTTTTTGGTCATGGTGTTTCGTCACAGCAATAGCAACCCTAAGACACCATGGAAGCATTTTCTTCACCTACCAAAAATAGTTTTAGTATTAATAATGTAGATCTTACTCAATAATGTAGATTTTTCCCAATAATGTAGAAAATAATGTTTGGTCACATAAATATATATTAAATAATATAAAACAAAGAAAAAACATTTCAAATAGACTATAAACACATTTTTCATTGTTTTTCTGTACATTTATTGTCACACTAAAAGTCATTGTTCTGTAATTTACAGGGTTTCTCTTTCTTTAATTTTTTTAAATCGTGCATGCGTGTGTGCTTGTGTATGTGTGTGTGTGTGTGTGTGTGTGTGTGTGTGTCTGCATGTGGGTATTGCACACAAATGTAGATGCTCTTGAAGACTAGAAGTGTTGGACCCCACCAGTGCTGGTTACAAGTGGTTGTGAGTCACCCTACATTGGTGTTGGGAATAGAATTTGAGTCTTCTACAAGGATAGTTAATACTCTTTGCTACTGAGGCTTCTCTCTAGCTCTATGTGGTTTCTCTTATATCAATCATTTTAAAAACATTTATGTGGTTTTGGTTTTTATTCCTACAACAATCTGAGAAGCATACATCGTTTTTAAATTTGTAACTAACATACAGACATAGGACAAACTAATCAGATCTCTCTTCCTGTTTCTATGTACTACCTCCCTGCGCCAGTCACTGGTAATCAGTACTCTTCTTTATGTTCATTTTTTTTTTAATGGTCACACACTAGAAGGAATCCAGGGCCCTTATCTTTCCATTTGCAATTTATTTAGTTAACACAATGTCTTCCAATTCCATCCATTTTGTGGTAAATGGTGGTAGACTTCTTCCCCTGTTATTATAAAATACTTTTCTTCTTTGTTATAATTTTTTGAGACCATTTCATGTACCTCTGCCCACTGGCCTCCAGGTACCTGAGGGTGATCTTAAACTTCTGATCCTATTGTCTCTGGCTCCTCAGTGGTGGGAATATAGATTTGCCAACAATTTATGTGGTGACAGAGATGGAACACAGAGCTTTGTGCATTCAGGTAAGAGCTCTGACAACTGAATCAGGTCCAGCCAGATATTCATCATTTTTTGACAGAATGCTTTTGAAATATAGCAGCACTGTTCTGAGTCCTTTTTTATGAATTCCTTATTTTGGCTTACATTATCTATCTGATACTACATTGTGTTTACTTTAAATCTTTTAGCATACAGGTTATAGAGGTTTTTAAAACTCCTGGTATGAAAATTCCAGCCTTCCTGACTCAAGTTCTATAACTGTTTTCTCTCTCTCTCTCTCTCTCTCTCTCTCTCTCTCTCTCTCTCTCTCTCTCTTCCTAATTTTTGTTTGTTTGCTTAGTTGGTTGATTGGTTTTTTACTGTAATATGCCTCATGATTGCTCTATTAAAAGGTGGACATAATTACACATTGAAAGTGAATAGGTACTTAATATGGTGATACTACACTGGATTTTAATGATTAGTGAACCTCTGCCTGTGAACTTCGTTAGTGCATTCCAGTTCTCCTGATACATAGAATTAGATGTCCTCTAAGTCCCCTGCATACTTGCATAACTTGTATATTTCTATTCTTCCAGGTAAGTTGGGCAATGATTTAACTCTATCTATTTAGGTTCTCCTAAAACATTTTCTCAGAAGAAAAGTACTCTTCTGGTAGATATGAATGTTACATGGCTCACTAATAGGGATACAGCCTGAGAATTGTGTCATGGGCATTTTTATCATTGTGTGATGATCTGAGATGGTCTAGATCAATCACTTGTCATAGTCAATTGATGGGATCAAGAAACATAATAAGAGATATGAATCTGTTGCCAGCATAACCTACTAGTTTACATGAAACATTTAAAAATAAATAGGAATGTATTCTAAAATTATAGTGAAGTCACACCTGGTACACAGGCCTGCAAACCCAGCCATCTAAGAGGCTGAGGCAGGAGGATTTCAATATCAAGGCTTTGACAGCCTAAGGAGATCCTGTCTAAAGATGAAAAGATGAAAGAAAAATAAAGAACTGGAAATAGAGCTCAAGTCAGAAGGGAGAATCCAGGGTCAGTACACAAGACTTCAAAATACCCAAGCATGTGAGTAACCTCAGACAATGTAAAGTGGTAAAACACAAAGTGATAGCATAGTTACTTAGCACCAAGCATACTGCAATTGTATCACAAGAAGTTAGTTAGTATCAAACTCATTTCTTTCTTATTAGAATAGCAATATTCTAATACTCCCTTCCCTGAATAACTTGTCTCCACCAAAATGATTTTGTCAGTTGCAAAATTTTTCTCTCTTCTTAATTTGGCACATGTACATGCAAAAGTGATTCTGAATGGGACGTTTGGGTGGTTTAGAGGCTGGAGTTACTCACTCTACATTCTACATCTTGATAAAGCAGGCAAAGCTAATGTAGTCAGCCCACATGGTTTCATGCCCTTCAACTGAAGTGATCTCATACTTTATTCAAGATGACATTATATATAGCTGAAATTTTAATAAATGACTTGACATTACCTAACTAGTTCTCAGCCACTTTGTGGTCTTCAAACTGAAGTTACCCCCACATGTCAACCACCCAGTGTGAACTGTTTATAATAAATTTAGATTGCATCTCTCTCCTCTCATTTAGATTCAGGACACCAAGTTATTACAGAGGGCAGCTTGTGACTTCAGTCCTTGAAATCCATCTTACACAAATTCTTTCTTATTATTCCTATTTGTTTTTCCATGTGTAAGGCTTGTGATGAAGATGTCCACAGTGGAACAGAAGCCTAGCCTGTGACCATGGTATTCTTTGGTATGTGATCCTAGATAGCTCTTAAAAGAATTTGAGTGTAATCCTTTGGGTAGCATAACTATTTACTAAAATATAATTTAGATACTTTTCTAACCTGGTAGAAAAAATAATACCTAGAATGGGTTTTCAGGGGGTTCTAGTATATACCCCCCAAAAAATTTATTCAAAAAATTTATATGTACTTCTTGGAATCCAAAGGAAGAGAGAAATGTAGCTAGAGTTGAAGAAGAAACTACAATAAGAAATTAAAATGTCATTTGAGCTGTGTATTTCATCCATGCTTATTTTCTCAAGTCCCTGTATTCTGTCTTCCTGTAGGCTGCTTTTCCTTGCTTTCCCAGCTACCCTGCAGAGACTGCCTGGTGGTTATTGCAGTTGGAGGGTGATAATTAATCGCACCTCCTTTCCCCAATAGGGAACCAATTTTAGAAATACAAGAACCAGACAGATGAAGATAAAAATACTAGCCTTACCCCTTACTTGAAGACCTGGTAACAGACTGTGAATTGGATTTAAAGCAAAATTGAATTTCTACTACTTTCTGCCTCGAATTAAACCCTCTCAAACATATAAGGTCTCACCCTTTGTAAGGACAGTCACCCCAGGAAGACAAAACCAAGCAGCTCCCAGAAAGGGGGCTGAACACAAAACATTGTTAGTCTGTCTAATAAAAGCTAAGAACAGTGAGAGTCGAAGTTTCACAGTCGCCATCTGCTCCATTACAAAAGCAAAGATACTATGCAGAGAAAGATAGAAGGCGAGGATACAGGGAGTAGCATTTCTTCTCAAAGAAATCATTTAGTCCTAATTTGAAAAGGCCAACCTGAAAAACGTAATTGTTTAACTTGGGTAAGCTATCTTCACTTTTGCTTCGTAAAGTCACATAAACATAAAGAAAAAGACATTGGGAAAACAATATCAGTCATAACTTTCTCAAACACACACACACACACACACACACACACACACACACACACATGTGCGCGCACGTGTGTGCTCACGCACATGCATCTTGAATCAATGAAGCAAAAGATATATACAATGAAAACTTTAAGGAACTGAAAAAAAATTGAAAAAGAGTCCAGAAGACGGATAGATTTTTCCATGCTCATGGATCAGTAGAATTAGTATTGTTAAAATGGACACCCTACCAAAAAGCAATCTACAGATTCAATGCAATCTCCACCAAAATCCATCACAGAAATTGAGAAACTAATTTTAAATATCGTATGAAACACAAAAGATACAATATAGCCCCAAAACCCTAAACAATAAAACATCCACTGGAGGAATCACCATTCCTGGTTTCAAATTATACTATGGAGCTAAAGTAATGTAAACAATGTGGTACTGGCGCAAAAATCATACTCATCAATTAACAGGTTATAAATGAAGACACACAAATAAACACACACTCCTACCAGCCACATGAATTTGACATAGGCTAACAATATACACAGTGGAGAAGAGGAATCTTCAGCAAATATGCTTGGTTATTCTGGATAGATGCATGTTGAAGAATGAAATCAAATCCTCATCTCTTACCCTGAACAAATTCAACTCCAAATGGATCAAGAACTTTGCACCAGATACTTTTTTGTCAACTTGACAGAAACTAAGTTCATTTTATTTTAAAGATCAGCATCCTTTGCTATCAGGAAAATGCAAATGAATGCTACTTGATATTTAATCTTTCTATAGTCAGAATTTGTAAAATTAAAAACATAATTAATGACAAATTCTGGTGTGGTTGTGGGGAAAGAAGAACACTAAGTATTCACTGCTGGTGGGAATGCAATTTGGTGAAGCCATTGTGGAATTTAGTGTGGCTTTTCCTCCAAAAGCTAGAAAGACATGTACCACATGATATAGCCATACCAGCCACTCTTGGACATATACCCAAAGTACTCTATATTCTAACATATAGATAACTGCAATATACAGAAAACTGCTTACTCATGTTCATTACTGCTCTATCACAATAGACAGGAGACAAAAACATCTCAGGTGTCTATTAACTGATGAATAAATAATGAAAATGGGACATATTTGCACAACAGAATATTATTTTGCCGTTGAAAAAAAATGGAGTTATGAAAGTTGCAGGTAAATGGATGGAACTGGAACTATCACTCTGTATGAGGTAACATAGACACAGAAGGACAAATGTAAAAAATTGTCTCATTTGTTTATGCTATCTTGGAATCATCAGATATATATGGTTCATTTGGAAGACTCGTCAGGGTAAAGAAATTAGTACAGTGCCCTAGGCAGGGAGACTTTCAAGTGAGGGGGGATAGAATACAATGGTACAAGGGCTTACAGGAGAATGATGGAACAGACAGGGTTAAATTACGGTAGAGGGTAGGAGAGTAGGATAGAGAAAAGAATAAAGGGAGGGATAAATAACCTTTCAAAAAATTCACATGAAAATCTAACCATGACTATAGAGGCCTCCTAAAACATGCATATATTCACATATATAAAAAAATAAATACAGAAATGCTATAAAGGGATGACAATGCCCCCACTAGATACCAATAAATTAATAAAAAGCTCAGTGCAAGAAATGGGTTACCTCTTTTGGATTTGTTGGCCAAAGAGGTTCCATCACCCCCCAAACATTACAGTCTATTAGTTACTTTATAGAATTTGATGTGTGTGTGTGTGTGTGTGACAGATAGAGACTTAGCATTTAAAAACGTGCAATGTATAATAAATGAATCTGTAGAAACTAACTTGATAAAGCTATACAAAATACATGTTAGTGAGCTAATCTAGAAAATGAAATAATTAGAAAATTAAAGTTGAAATACAAGCTAGGGATAAAATACAGATGTCAGTGCCACGCTCTAGGACAGCATTTTTCAACCTGTGGGTCATGACCATCAGAGAGCGTATTGCTCTGGTGGTGTCAGGAACTGAGACACCACTCAGTAGCAAAATTATGGTTATGCAGTAACAATGAAAATAATTTTATGGTTGAAGGTCACCACAACTGTATTAAAGGGTCACAGCATTAGGAAGGTTGAGAACCACTGCACTAGAAGATTTCCCCCCCAAAAAAGTAATAAAATAACAAAACACTATAAGAATAAGTTCAACTTAGTGGACTTAAAAATCTGAAAGAAATCAGTACGTATTTAAAGAAAACTGCTGAAAATATGAGGGGTCTACTAAAACAAGTTGAAAAAGGCCAGTGTAGACAAAGTCACTCCCCAAAGTCATTGTAAACATTGGTGCTAATTCAGAGTGCACAGTGGATCTCTAAGGCAAAGCAATTGGTCTCATGTCCTAGGCCACCAATTCCCAGGCTACAGTTCATTGTCAACATGTTCCTGTGGATTGGGTCTATTGCCACTGCTCCCCAATATAGCAGTTCTGGGGTAGAGCCACCCCTCTGACTCTCATCCTAGAAAAAAAAAAAAGAGAGGAAGCATCACACATGTGACATTGTTTAGTCTCTGTTATCATTAAAGCCAAACTAGTGGAAACACATGAACTATGAACCAAAAGCTGAGGAGCCCCCAACTGGATCAGGCCCTCTGGATAAGTGAGACAGTCCAATTAGCTTGAACTGTTTGGGAGGCCCCCAGGCAGTGGGACCGGGACCTGTCCTTCATGCATGAGCTGGCTGTTTGGAACCTTGGGCCTATGCAGGGACACTTTGCTTAGCTTGGGTGAAGGGAGTAGGGGACTGGACCTGCCTGAACTGAATCTACCAGGCTGAGCTGAATCCCCAGGGGAGTCCTTGCCCTGGAAGAGATGGGGGGAATGGGGGGGGTTTGAGGGGAGGGTGGGGGAGCCTGATAGGTAAAATTAAATTAAATTATAAATTAAAAATAAAAATAAAAAACCCTCATATTTAAACAACAGATGATGTTGCTGAGGTTATTTCAAATCCTTACCCATTCAATATTCTTGGAAATATCTTTTGGGTGATTCCAAGAGAAAGAAAAACTAGAAGAAATATCCATTATAATTAAAATAGCACATGGCTCTCAAACTTTGGAATAAATAAAATTGCCATACATTGTTCTCAAGTTCAGTTCATTTTACATGAATGAATCAAAATCTCATATATGCAGGAGAATAGCACAAAGTTTAGGCCAGGCCATTAAGGAGTTTCAACCTCCTTTCTCCTTCAGGACATGGATGAAGGAATGGGGCTTCTCATTGTTATGCAAGGTAGGTTGTAGCATTATCTTTGCTGGCTAAGCTGTGTCAGTCCTGATGAAGAAAGTGGAAGCAGTGATCCAAGAATGGAGAAGACGTCCGTGTGACTCCATCATACCTCAGCTCTCAAGGATCATCCTTCTGCCTCTTGGCAGTCCACACATCTTCAACAAAAACGTCAACTCTTTCCAGTAAAATGCATAACGTGGCAATATTTCTTACATTTCAAATTGCCTCTCCAATGAGGCAAACAAGGGTAACAAACTTAAATCATGTGGTATACAAGAAAATGCTAACCTTGGCCTGTCAGGCTGGAGATGAATGCTCAGAAAATCTGATTCAATAGGTACAGAATGGTGTGCGGACCATTTAAAGACATATTCTAAGTGTTCCAATACTACAGAATATTATTCGTCTGTACCGTGGTTCCCCCGTTATGTCGGTCATTAGTTATTTGTGTCTGAGAATTCATGATTTCACCTGCTTATTAATGTTTTGGTGGAGACTAATTACGAACAAAACTTTCTTGGTGATTTACTGCTCCCTGTCTTGTGGTTTCCAATGAGAAGGTGTTTCTCACCAGCCTTGCATCTGCCAGCTCTTCAAATGGGAAGCAAAGGCTTCACAGGGGCACTACTCTAAGGAGCAGAGAGGAAGCAAATGAGAGCCCCAGCACAGATACCATAGCAAGTTATTTCATCAGTGAGATGAAGGGAAAGAGCCTGTCTGCAGGCAATGGAAGCTGAGAGGGATCCCTATTCCTACCAGTCAGAAATCTATCTTCTTATGCACATTGGTGGGCATATGTGACCTATACCAATATTTTCAGTAAGACTTGTGTGAGATTTCCTGTGATTGAAATTGCCATTTTTGGCATGCAAAGAATGAAGCATATATTGATTAATTGATCAGATGGAGAATGAATGAAAAAAAGAGAGGAAACATGCATTGTTGGCATGTATATTAACAAGACAAGTTGTGTAAGAGAAAGAGAATATTGGGGTAATAGGCAAGGCAACTTATTTTGTAATTTTATCTTTGAGCCATAGAAGACTATTAAAGTTAGAAAGGACCTTATAAAGAAAATGCAGTAATAGTATTCTGTGGTGAGAAAGTACGTGATAGAAACAAGACCTAGTGAGATGGCTTGGCAGATAAAGGCGCTGGCTGCCAAGACTATTGACCTGGGTCCACACCCCATAGTGGAAAGCCAGAACTGAGTGCTAAAGCTGTCCTCTAAACTCCTATATTTAAAAGTACATTTTTTTTTAAGGAAACAAGTTAAAGCAAGACATTTTTATTCTGGCTCATTGTTTCAGAGGTTTACATTCACCACCTCTCAGCTCTGTGTTTCCAGTTCCTAGTGAGGCAGAGCATCGCTGAGATGTGGTGTGACACTGGAAGGTTACTCACCTCCTGATAGCCAGGGAATACAGAGAAAGGAAGGAAGATACACCCTTCAGGACACATGTCCAATGACCTACTTCCTCCAACCAGGTCCCATCTGCATATGGAAATTCCATCAGTAGCCAATCTGTGAAGAGGCTAGCTCTCTTGTGAGCCAGTCATCACTCAACAGTGTCTACAGCATGGGACCAAGCCTTTAGCACATAGGCTATCTTCCTTAGACATTTTATATCCAAATAATGGCAAAAGAGATGCAAAGTATCATTTAATAAGTTTCTAGTGTATTAGTTGATGATATTCTAGGTATATTTAATCCTCACAATAATTGTTAAAGACTTGGCTATATTAATATTATGAGTAGTATGTGTGTTTTGTGTGTGTGTTTTGTGTGTGTGTGTGTGTGTGTGTGTGTGCGCGCGCGTGTGCGCGCGCGCGCGTGTTCATGTGTGTGATAGGGTGGTTGTGAATGTTTGTGTGTTCATGAGTAAACCACAGGCTGACATCAGTTATCTGTCCCTCCACCTTATCTTCTGAGACAGAAAATGGAACTAAATGATTTTGCTGAACTGGCTGTCCAGTAAGCTTAAGGGACCCAGCTGTCTCTAACTCCACAGACATGGGGTTAAAGGTGCATGTGACCATATTTTGTTATGTGCACCCTAGGGATCAAACTCAGGCCCTCAAATTGAGTGACCAGCACTTTACTAACTGGGCCATCATCCTGGTCTCTTATTCTTCTGAACGTAGAGAACCCAAAACCCAGAAAGAACTAAGATGTTAAACATCCAGTTCAAAATGCTTAGCTTATAAGTGACATAGACGAACTCTAAAATGACAAGTGGGGATTTGATCAGTACTTGACCAAGCATGAACTTTAACCAGGTTGATCTCAATCCTCAAGGGAGGCTTTGCCCTGGAGGAGGTGGGAATGGGGGGTGGGCTGGGGGGGAGAAGAGGGGAATCTGTGGCTGATATGTAGAGCTAAATTATTGTAAAATTAAATTAAATTAAATTAAAAAAAACATGATTCCATCTTATCAGGTCATTTCTAAAGGAGCCTCAGTTTATATTAACTTTGTAGTAAGTTCAGCTGGAAACTTGGAATTGGTGTTTAGATTTCATTCCAATTACTTAATACAAAGTATATCCCTAGTTGAGTTTATAGGAACATGATAATACAATATATGCAGTTGACTTTGATCTTGTCATTTTCAACTCATAAAAGAAAAATATTTTTGAGGCTGTGTTTCAGTGCCAAATAAAAATTGTCACTAAAATCCACTAGTCTACAGCTAGTCTATAACTCCCAGACATTTTCATAATTATACATAGTCACATGATTGAATTCTAACCAATGACATGAGAGGGAACAAGGCGTAACTTCGTAGGTAAAGACTTAAAAAATCCTCAGTGTTCTCCTTTCCCTGTTATGAGAAAGTGAGATAATGACAAAGTCCTAGGGAGTGGTAGGAACACAAGAAGAACGGATTCTGGGTGTCTGACCCAAACAGGGGCATTTGCTTCAAACTCCTGCGAAAGAGAAACATTAAGTCCATCCAATAATGGCTCACCATCAAAATATAGATAGCTTGGAATTAAGAACATTTG